GAAATATACAGACAGAAATTGATATCATGCTCTGAAAATTCATTTCTTCAAATCCTCAAGGTAATGAACGATTTTAGCTTATCTGAGGCGCGGTCTAAAGTGGGCTTTTCTGATAGAAATTTGACGGTGTGTGTCGTAATTAATACCTGTTTTCATTTTTTTTTCATGCTTTCATCCTCTCGATTTCAGAACCACTGTGTTCCAAAAAAAGGCAAAAGGCTTTATAACAGACTATTAATTCTAAGGAAGCCCGTTGATGCCAGTCTGGTAATTCTGAAAATGAGACATTGTATAAACTCCTTCACTCTGCCCCTCCCCCGTTTTCCCCTTTCACATACTGTTTAAATGTATACTGTTTATTATAAAACTATGATTAATACCTTTTGTGTTCTTTTCTCTGACGGTTATTATGATGATGACACTAGAAAACATCGAAAATAGGCAATTTCTGATATATGCCATGAAAGTTTTTATCATCATGCGAAAACTATCTACTTGTATATAGTTTAACGACCCCTTTACATTGGATAATATTGATAAGATGTCCCAAAAAGAGTCGATAGCGTATAAAACTACTGTAATTGATTATCTGGGATGATCGATGAGGCCGTCATTAAATCAAATTTGTATTTTTTGGGTCACGTAATTAATTTGCAAGACAACGCGGATTGTAAATTGATGTGACCAAAATATCACACATTTGCATATCAATAGATGTTCATTTAGATATTAATTAAAGGACTCCACATGTAGTTTAGATAGAAAAATACATAGGGAATAAAAGAACTAAATTCAATATATTGCATATCTTTGCCCCCATAAAAGTCAAATTTTGGAAAATTCTTAAAATGTGTTGAATTGTATAAATTGTATGAAAAATATATAAATTAACAAAACATATTAACAGGAACAATATTTGCATATTTAATTGATATTATCATTCTACACATTATATCAAAATACTGAGTCTGAGAAGACCTGCACTCGGTGATTTTTACTCAAAATATAGACGCAATATTTACATTTTTCTGTAGAAATCATGGAGATTTTAAATTTACGTCATTTTTCTGACGTCATTTCAAACATATGACGTCATTGCTAATGAAAATATTCAATGCTTTGAAGTCAGCATGTATCCCCCTGTTTTAGAACATATTTGAATATTACTCCGTCAAAGTTCGATTTTGGGGGCAAATATTGGTTATTACCAAATAAAGCCCTTTTGCGTTGCCTTTTGGCAAAAAATTAAACTTGATTTCTTTAACAGCTAGAGGGAAGAATTAAAATCAATCAAATAGGAAATCAAAATAATAATATATTATTAATTTTTCCTGTGATCTCTGATTTTCATTGAACTGTGCCTTCATAGTTGATTTTCTTTACGGTATTTGATTGAAAACGTCCATCTCGGTAGAAAAAAAAATGCAGAAAGCGTGCATTGAAAATTCATCATTTCTTCCTCGGTAAGTGTCGACTTGATGAAGAATGACCAAAGTCACCTAGTTCTGGTCATTAATGAGCAAACATGTAGTCTTTTATTACTAGTCATCAGTATAAAATGACCGATTAGTACACACCTTACCTTGACCTTCAGATAAACGTTAATTTTATTACATATAAAATAAAAATCTTCATCTAACGTACCTATTGCCTATTGCCTATGATCATTCTTTTAGGATAAAGATAAGAAATATGCAAAGATGCTAAAGGGAATTGGGAAAATTTAATTTTTTTGTCGTGATTCCGGTTTCTGCTGAATGGAAAAAGATCTCTCCGTACCAGTTCATTTTTCTTAGGTGTCGTCTGTTTTACGACACTTCACTGTCAGACGACAGAAAGAACGCGGGAAAGGGTGTACGTTTGACAATACTGTCCAGTCCTGCTGCACGCTAACAGACACCTCGCTTGACATTTTTGTGGATTTTTGTAGGATTAATTAATGAAGCGTAGCCAAGACAAATTACCGTTTACTTACTGTAGAGCGATCGAAACTCTCCCATAAGGTACATCAATTACATACTGACATGGAGTCCTTTTCCAGCATGGGACCCACCTCAGTGGTGACGGGGATCTTCCGATGTATCAATCGTTATCGATTAGGATTTCAACATTCGAAATTTAATTCAAATAAATGATGGAACTTTGTTTAAGCACGGATTATTTTCGAAATAAGCTATGGCAGTGCCTATGTTGCATGTTGGTGCTGTTTTGTCGAATATAGTTTGTACTAAAGTTCCTATTCCAAATCGTCCGAATTGTTACAGGGAAACTTTGGCTCCATTTCCTCATAGATTCAAATGCTGTCCATATAGTCATGTTTTTGTGAACTATGATCGGATATGTAATTGTGTACCTTCAGGATACGGTAAGAAACTTCTATTTTGCCAATACACAGCGTAAACTGAAATTGTAAATCAGTCATGATTTACAAAAAGAAAACAAAAATAAAGTTTTTAAAAAGTTGAAAATTTCTTTGAAGTAAATAATCGATACAAAGTTCGCACTTTCTTTTCAGTAAATAAAGAGATTATGAGTATATATTTTTTTCAAAAAGCTATAACCTAGTAGGCAATAACAACTGGGGCCAAAAACTGAACTGAAAGTTAAGAAATTTCACTTCTTTTCTAATTCTCTCCTTTTTAAAGATAATATTAATGTAGATTCAATTTGTATTTCGCTTAAACTGTGTAAAATTTTATCTTTAACTTAATACTTATTTATTTATAGATCATAACCAAAATCTGTAATTTAAAGAATATCTATTTAGTCTGTTTATTTTTTTTATTTAATAATATTTTACACTTTGTAAAACTAAACATGTAGCCAATGACTTCCATTTTTTACTTGAATGTTATTTTACACTTTGTAAAACTAAACATGTTCATGTAGCCAGCGAATTCCATTATATACTTGTGCTGCATTGTCAAACCTTCGGGAAAAAAATGAACACTATACTTAATTAACTAGACCAAATATACAATGTACTTAAATTTCCTCACCTGATAATAAAACAAGAAGCTTAGAAATTAAAAAATGTTTAAATTCAAAATGCACGATTAATTCTGTCCCCCAATTATTTTTTTCCTCATTTATACTATTATTCCATGTAATATATGTTTTAAATGTTTTTTTCTTGTTTTTTTTTTTCGTCCTCCTTCATTTTCATTTTCACATCATGACAAACACATGTAGTGTCGTCACAATCACGGATTATTTATATATCTTGAACGTCATGGAACAAATAAAACAGTATTTAACTTCATGTTCGATACAAAAATGGAACAAATAAAACTTCATGTATGTATACAAAAATCTTCGTAATGATGCATATTGGTCAATTACTGAAATAAAATGTCAGATAAAAATCGCAGAACCTTCCTCATTCCTGTCAAAATATGACCACACTGTGTAAATTTACAACAGGTTCTCCGTTAAAGCGTAACAATTTTCATGTTAGGCTTCACTTTGTTGTCCTAATAAAAGACATTATATAGCTGCCTGGATTGTGTAAAATGGACGGAAATATGGAAATGTCTGGACTTCCACCACCGAATTTATTATTTACTATGATTTTTCAAAAAATCAATTAATTTTATATATAGGGTTAAAATTATACAGCATAACCGCAATTACTTCCACATAATGTTAAATAATAACTTTTGTCTTTTCTTCCTTTGGTATTAATATCGTTTTCATTGTGTTAAAATTGACATTCAGCAAATACAATTTATCATTAAGTCAAATGCTGACTGACGTATTTCATACTAATTGTTAGGTCATTTTTCAGTGTATAGACACTGAATTGCCAACGGATTTTCTCGTTATTTCCTGATCATGACACGGAACACACGACATGTGTGACTGGTCGTCTTGAGATGCTCACTCCTCCATGGCACCTGCTCCCATCTCTGATGCTTTGGAGATCTGTGTTTGCTCTGCTCCTACTTTGTATTATTTACTGAACTTTTTGTGAATGAATACTGTTCGTTATCTCCATATAGTTCGATCATTATAACTAGAGATATTGACTTCTGGATGCACGAAATGTTAACACCCCAGCCCGATCCCGTACGTGTAATCACACGTCTCATTTTTTTTTATAATATGGTGAACCCTAAATATCTGTGTGATCGAAATTAAAAATAGAACGTGCACAATAGCATCATTTAGTTAACTTAGATTCTTTGAAAATATCATTTTTAGTAGAATAGGGGTTATGGATAAGACATTGGTACCCCTAATAAGTATTAATTAATATACGAAAATATCGATCTAAAACATGTACTTGTCTAACCTTTTCATGCATATTACTTACAATATTAAACTCGGTCAAAAATAAACGTGGAGAAAGCATTTTTTTATTTACAGAAAGTCGATTAATTTGACTGCATTGCAATAAAAAAAAATATTGGTATTTAATTTTTTTTTTCCAGCACAACATTTAAAGAATGAGAAGTTCCAACAATATCCATCTTATGGGAAATCCTACAGGAACAAAGGTACACGCAACTATCTGTGGGATATTTACTTAAAAGACATTACTAAATGCCTTCAAACTCAGTAATGATATTTAACTATGATTTTGAAATTCGGCTCTATGAAAATTCTTGAAAAAGATAGAATTGGATATGTTGTATCAATGGTTACAAAGTCACAACCTTGTCAAGATTTACGAATTTGATCACCTACAGGGTAAATAACTGCCCTATATTACGTACACGAGGATGTTTGCTGAATTATGACCTTGTATCGTACCGATGTGTTTAGGTTAAAGGCATTCAAAACATAAAATTTACATATATTCTTGACAAAGGAGACATGTTGTGTATGTTAGCAAAAGGCATGGAAGATTAAATAAAAGCCGAGAAATGAAAGAACTTAAATTATTGCAGCTTTAAAAAAAATTGTTAATCTGGGAGTGACCAGTATTATATAAACACGTGTTTGTGTACCAAGAGACTTGTTATTATTTAGCTATGTGTTTTTTTCTTTCCAGGATATCATCGCTATAAGAAGTATGGCTATGGTCAGAAGAAGAAATATAACTATGGATATAATTTATCTCAAAGCAGTCCAAGAAGACAACCATCATATTCAGTCAGGACAGCGGAAGCAATTTCAAACAAAGTGAAAGTGGCTTCAGCTAAAAATACACTAAGAAAAAGAGCTAACCAGTTCACAAATTTGAAAAGAAAAAGTCAAATACAAAGGAAAGTGATACCATTTTCTCAGAAAAGTATTCAACCTATCAAAAGAGTAATCAAATCGACCTCAAAACGAGGCTATTCTAATAAACAAATCAACAAGAAGATTTCTTTTTCACAGAGGCGGAAACTTGAAAATTCAATTTCAAAAGCAAGAAATCTACACAATCTACAGAAACAAGCCAACACACCATCTGTATCTTCCTCACTTAGAAATGCTGTAAACAAACAGAAGAAAGTTATCCAGAATGCTAAAATTGCCAGATTACCCACAACCAAAATGACATTGCCAAATAAGAAGAGAGAGATTCCTTTGAAAACAAAAATAGTAAAAAATCTTCCCAAATCTACAAAGAACAAATTGCAATCTAATTCAGAGAAATCACACTCGGGAACAAATGTGATTAAACCCAAGATATCAAACCGGGATATTTCAAATGATTTAACGCAGACTTTGATCTCAAATTCCAAAAACTCTAAAAGTGTTGGAAATATACCGATATATTACCTTAACTACGATTTTCAAAATGGTATTGTCGTTAAAATGCCTGTAATATATGAATATCATCTAGTGCTACCTCCTGGAATAGATAGAGCTATTCCACTTCCAAATAGTAAAGGATTTCTAGTGCCTTTTTCTATTTTCGTTCAATCTTCCGGACGTTTCGTCTACAACCCTGCTATACTTCGTCGTCACCCCTCATTACTTTCTCACATTCGTTTGGCCAAGCAACGTGGAATTACACTAGAACCTATTCCACTCAAACGAGACACAAACACTATTCAAGAACTTTCTTCTTTCCTAAATACACGTTCGCATCGCTTCGATGACATCATATTTGAAAATAATATGGCAGCTGACCAGTTACACGGTGTGTTTCCTTTAGAGGGACAAGATCCATCCCCTCGGTTACATTTCCTTGGAAGTGGCCATGGTGCCATTCAAAGCAACGCTCCACATAATGTAGACAAAAAATTCCACTCTTTTGGGAAGGTTCGTGATCAAAACAGTCTTCTAACACTAGAAAAAGGATGGATATTTCCAAATAAGAGAAGACAGATCGGTTTGGTGAATCCCAAGTCTATAACATTCAATTCTTCTTCTAATATTCCCAAGGTACAAAACGGGAAAATAAATCTCCAGCTCCAGAATGTACGGGTACTTTCAAACAGAGATTTCTTAGACAAAAATATTAACATAAGAAAAACCTTCCACCCAAATTGGATTCCAGATCTGGACTTATTTAGAATGTTAACTAATGGCCAGCCTTTGGAAAATCAATTATATCCCAAGTTGGAAAGGAACTTTCAAAAAACGGGTAAAAGCAGCAGTGTGGATCTCCACAATGTACTTTCAACCATTCCATTAGATTCAAAATTTGATCTGAAAACCAACAAACTTGATCGTCCACTGCCAGACATTCCTGGCCCATTATCTTTAAGAAACGCAGCAAACAAACAGAATAAACTTTTACACTTTGCAGGAATTCGAAAAGGACCAGTTGTTTTTCCATCTTCTAGAGTGTTTTCTAATGTTGAAACCAATTCATTAGCCGGGTCCTTACAATCCGATAGCAATGGAATGTTTCCGCAAAATTCAGTTCCTATTCCATCTGGAGGGTTTGTCTTCAACGTATCTAAATCATTAAATAGTTTACCTATTGTAAAAAATGAACCTCAAATTCTTGATCACCAATTACCCAATATAATCATACCAAATGATCCTCCACTTGATCCACAAGAAAAGGTTACCTTAAATTTTAAGGAAATGTCCACTCGAAAGTTATTTCCACAAGAAATGGCCGCAGCCAAGTTGAATCAAAAGCTTCTCAATACATTAGAAGGAAAAGTTGGACTGAGTACACCAGAACTTGTAAATTCAATTCAGCTTTCAAGTACAGGTACATCAAAAACATTGAGCAATGAGATGGACCGAGTTGGTACAAGAGTGCAGTCAGTTGGGGTCATTCGTCCAAGTGCCTCACAAGTCGACACTTTTGTTGGACATATGGGATCAAACACACCAACAAGCTTAGAAACATCATTCGCAGATATTGGTTTAGGTACACCAAAAACAAATGAAAATACTATTGGGAACGTTGGACTGCAAATAAAAGGGTTACCGAATCCATTAGGGCTTGTTGGTTCAGACCTAACCGAAAGAATGCAGAATTCTGTTGGAGTTGGAAGAATACCAGTTTCACGGAATGACCTGAGAGTGTCGGTTCAAGATTCCAAAGTTCAGTTGCCATTCAACCCTAGAATGCAAACTGACCGTGGTCCCTTTAAATTCAGAACATTTTTTAAACTTCCTCCCAGATTTAAAAAGACTGGTTCTAGCTCTAATGGAAACGATGTCATTGGAATTATTAAAAGCAATGCTAAGGTTTATCCGATCCCGATTTTTCCAGGGGCCATCAGTGGAAATATAGGGGAACCAGTTTATCAACAAACAGAGAATGGATTAGATGTATTTAATGGGAACGAATATAGTGCATTCTTGGATCCAACAACCAACCTTCCAGTTGGGTTCACTGTTAAAAAATTTGATTACGAAGTAGGCGGAGTTGTTGATCTGCTTCAAAATAAAAAGCCGAAGACTGTGAATGAAAAGAAAAAAGTCGGTGTGGTGACTAAAGAAAAAACACGAGAAAGGAGTGGAGTACTTAAGCTACTGGACAATAACGCCATTATTGATGAGATAGTGACTGTACTTCGCAGAAAGGGACCTTTGAAACCAAACGAAAATGAGTTAGTAATTCCACCAAAAATTATTGATTCAAAGAGTAGAAACAACATTATAATGTACTTAAAGAACGTGAAGATGAGGAAACATGACAGTGCACCCCAAATGCCTTCAGATTTAATAAAACTCTTGAAAAATCCAGTTTTCGTTCGTTACATAAGGAGAAACAAACCTGTAAAAAGCAACAATACAATGAACATTCCCGAAACCAACAAAGTAGGTTTGATATTTGACAGAATCGATGTATCTAGGGAACCTATTCCGAAGAAAAAGAAAACATTAGCCTCTGGTTCTAGTGCCTCTCCCACCATCAAAAGCAATACGAAAATCATGACTTCTAAATCAAACAAAGCAAAAGCATTCGTCAATACAAAGCAAATGCCTCCAATTGTTCAGAAGGGTACTGCAAAGATAATAAAGAAGGATGAAACCGTGATTTCCTTACCTCCGGTGCCAGTTCTGAAGTTTGATAGCATTTTAGACTTAAAGCAAAGGAAAACACTGAAAATGAATCTGACTAAAGGTAATCCTTTAAGAATTCATGCATTCTTTATCATTTTATCAATGCTTCAATATGTTTTAATGAAAAAAATCGGAAAACGAAAATTCGAAAGATCAGGTGCCATGGAGGAGTGAGAATCCCCTGCCGACCGGTCACACCCGCCGTGTGCTCCTTGTCATAATCGGGAATGAGGGATTTTTTGTTTTTAATTTAAGTGAAAGACCTTATAATTTTTATCTTAAAATACAGTTTGACAAACTGTAATCATGGCAAGTACATTGTAAGAGCAAAATAAATTCCTTTTGGTCATGGAAAATTCGAAAGAAAATAACATTTTCTCGTAAAACAATATACAAATTATACAATTTCAAAAAAAAAATAAATAAATAAAAATAAAAGAAAAATCTAGGGGCGCTACATATGTGCACGTAGGTCTTAAAGGTGTAATTAGGTTTATGTTTATTTATTTGATTTATAAGGCAGTAGGGCACATGAATGTTTCCCAGGTGTATTCATAAAAGTAGAATACAGAGAGGTGTCATTTACAGGCAATTAATACCGAGCTAGTAGAACAATCCTGATTGATATATCATTAAAGGTGACCATAACAATCCTTTCACGTGTTACTTCACAGGAAAATTCAAAAATTACTTTAACTTATAATATTGCGCTATTCATTGGTTACTGTCAAATAAGTTTTTGTAAGCAAGCTGTAGACTTTCTTCGTTGAATGCCATTTTTATCAGACTTTACATTCTAATTGGGTGATGATAGTACAGCAAAGCATATAATCATGCAGTACTTATTACGTATTATACGTATTTAGTAAATAATTTGATTAAAGCAGTTTTTCAAATATATAAATATTAAACTAATACAATTTAATTTCGATTGATATTTAATTTAGGTACAAATATACGTAAGTATACGCATGAAGATGAGACTTTTTTATGGCTCTTTTCAGAATTATGTAGAGGATGTACAATAGATGGAGGGTTGGGATACGCTAACCACCCCAGCCGCTGTGATCGCTTCGTCGTCTGCTACCCGGGGGAAAGCGGGAATGTTGTTCCAATAGAACAGGAATGTGCCTATGGATTGTTCTGGAGTCAAACCGCTTTAACTTGTCGTCTGCCCAAAGATGTGCTTTGTCCTTATGGTGAGTAATGAAGAATGAAATTTATTGAATAAATTGACTTTTTTTCTTAAAGCTAAAGAGAAATTTTCAATTGACTATATACAATTGGAAAATTCAATAAAGTGGAACATCAATGGAAACAATAGCTTTAACTTACTTTGTTTTAAAAATTCAAAGACAAATGCCGCAAAAGTGCCGAAAAACTTCAATATTCCCACGAAGGAAACTGCAAGGCTTTTTGGGAGTGCCGTGACGGATATTCGGTCCCCCAGTGTTGTCCCTCGGGAATGGCCTTCAGGGAGGGGAAGGGATGTGTGAAGAACGTCGGATTTTGCAAAAGCAGGTGCCCAATTGGCGAGAGTGAAATCCAGCCAGTATTCTTACAAGGTAATAATTCATCTTTTTTTACTGGGCGTTATTGGACATTCTGTCAATTTCATTTTCTTGTCCCAGATGAATGACTTGTGTTAACTGTTGTAAAAAATAATTTTATTAAAGCCAAATTGTGATTGTTTGCAATATATCAAGATTTATGTGTCGTTTTTATAAGATTCGCCACGTAGAAATCATGATAACATGAAGATTATGTTTTTCAGGAAATTTTATGATGCCTATTAGGGGTTTGTTACTTAAAAATATTTTATTCATTGAGTGTCAATATATCTATCTACCTGTTTTACGTCTCTCTGTGTAATTATGTCAGTGTTACTAAATATTTAACTGTAACACCCAATTTACAAGTGTATGCAAAACAGGAAATCAACGACCTCAACAGGAATTTAAGAATAAAATCAAAGAATCTGGTATATTGAAATGTGATTACAAATAATGATAAAAGAATAATATTTTATAACATTCAATGCGGAATTCATGTTCTAAACAAAAGTGTGTTTGTCCAATCGCTACTTCTCAGGCTTTTCTGGCGAGCTCGAAAAAACTTCTCGAATGTATTTACATCACCGGATGTTCTAGAAAATGATGTCGCTTCCTATTTAATAAAATATGAGATAGACGGGTTGGAGCTCCATTCTATAGTATATTTAAGTTAATATTATTTATGTTAACGAAAGTTAAGTTTCAAAATTTAGATATAAGAGGTCTCCATAAATGCATTTCAAAGTTTAGCAGAAGGCGGTTGTCATAGACTCCTACGTAACACAATGCGATTGTCGGGAAGACCTGGGAAGTTCCGATTGGTGTTTGTCGTTTTCCTCTTGATCCTAGGATCATGGATATTACGTCATATATATATATTATGTCTGTTGGTTTTTTTTTTTTTAGAAAACTTCTTCTTGCCCTCTCTCGACTCATAATAAAAAATGGGTTATATTGGGGGGGATCGGAATATTTTCTTAAGCAATATTTATTTTTTAAAACTTTTTCAAATTGGAAATCGAAGTTTGTGTCGGAACATTTCAATCTATCAGTCGGGAGGGGACTAAGAGAGGCGATTAAAAATGACCTGAACGTCATAGTTTATAACTAACATAAAAACACAATAATTTCAATCAATAACTTTAATAAAAATGTTAACACATTTCCTGAAAAAAATTATGCAATGCTAAATGGGTTATCTTTTCATGAATTTTAGGATTATGTAAATGCAACACACGATAAAAATGCTCATTGCTGAAAAAATCGTATATTCCATAGTATATTTATTTTCTACATATATTTATATTATAGGTGAATGCGATAAACGTGCAGTTCCAGGAAGTCCGGACAAATTCGAGCGTCATGTATATTTCCAGTCAAACCCAGGTGTTCCCGGGCGGATCCAGCAGGAGTGGATGATCCAGCAATGTTCACCGGGTACCGAGTTTCGGCCCGAGGTCTGTGACTGTCGATCCTCAGAAACGCTTACAAATCTCCTACTTGGAAAACGAGGTATGTGTTTGATGGAATTCAAATTTAAAACACAATGTACAAAGTTATATATATATCTATAAATATGGGTATGGAATTCCTAGAATAAGTGCTTAAACATATTTCATAGTAACTGGAGTGAAAACCTTTTTTCTTTTAACAAAAAAAGATTAGCTGATGCAGTTTCAAGGAATATTTCGCAGGAGCTACATGTGTAGCATAAGGAGATATTTCATGACCACTCGTTGCCATATGCGTACTCATAATCTGCGGTATTCGCCCACGCCTGTGCCCCTCTGTCATTACAGTGAACAGATTATTAGCTTTCATCGGATAGCATATTCTGTTCATCAAAAGTTATTATAGAGCACTATTAAAGATGATGAATTGATGGTAGACCTGTCTGGTTTCACTGTCGTTCCACACACAATATAGCCCGATGCGTGATTCTTTGGTTGCGGTCTTAGTCAGTGTGGTTTTCAGTCCATGCCATTTTTTAGTTCCAAATGAGACCCGAAGCATCCCACACAACTAATATGCATTTTTATGAAACATTTGTATCGTGGAACAGAGTTTATGTGTAAATAAAGATCTTCAAAGTAGTTTTTATTATTAATTCGCCGTAGCTTGACATACTCTGAACAAGAAATGAATTTTTTTGTAAAATTGAGCTATCTGCTCAAAAAATGTTATTAATCAGAAAATACAATTATTATTATGTATACATCGATATACTGAGTACATGTATTAGTTAATATGCCGATACACTGTGCAAAAAATCTTTCTGTGGTATATAAAACAATGTGCGTTATCATAAGTTTGTTTCATTTTCATATGTATTTGATTTATTGAACACAAGAGATTTTAAAAACATAAGTTCATAAAATGAAAATACGCACCTACATGTACTTAGTATGTCCTTTTTAAATCTTGTTATCCTGAAAAATAAATTTAAAAAGTAAATTTTAAAAAAAATACACTTTAGTCTTCGACGTACAGTATTTGAATCAAATTATTTTTTCTGTTATTTTGCAGTTTGTTCCCCTGATGTGTACTTACCGTTCACACACGGCTTGACTGACGAGTCCATTGCCAGAACACACGTCCGTGCCGACAACGTTACCATAACAACCAGCGGCACAGCGTGCTTCAGTGGGCAATCCGTGTTGGCAATGGCCCGGTTTGCCAACATGGACCTTGGTTCATATCTTTACGTAAAAATTCGATATCGGCATGTACTGTCTAACCCAAAGAACGAAGTACTCCTGTACAACGGCGACTGTGAAAGGAAGCCATCTTTGATTCTCGGCAGTACTGTGGATGGGAACTTTGTTTCCGTGTTGTCGACTACTAGAGAGATGCACACAATACGTGTTAAATCCCCGGTAAGTCTGTAAGATTCAACGAATGTACGAATAGTTTTTTTTTAGTTCCAAATTATGCATAAATAGAAACATCTTTTTAGCTTTGAAACTTGTAGAAGGTTTAACGCATGTGGGTGAATTTTTTCCTGATAATAAAACACGTTAACAACTGTTACATGAACTTAGGTTTTTTTCATGCAACGATGAGATACTGATATTTTTGTAAATTACTAGCAGAACTTAATTTTTTTTTTTTTGGTGGATAAAAATTTGAGCATCAATGTTGCTGAAACATTTTCAACGGGGTTTGTTTCTTTAATTTTTTATACACACTTGTTATATTTTTTAAGCAATTACTGCATACAGAAGTCTTTATTTCCACCAGGTTGCTTTATTTTACTTCCTAGTCCCCGTGACGATTTCGTGTAACGTAATGTGTGCATTCATGCATTTCAATAATAATATATTGTACAAGTAGTATGACATTTTGATGTTAAAATAAGTCTTTTTATAGACGTGACCCAATTTCTTCAATGAACAAACCAAGATTATTGTTCTTAAGATTTCTTTCATAAAACTAAGTAAGCAAAATTCCATTATTTTGAATTAATATTTTACATAAATATTTAGCAAGTGGGATTTGTTAGTATTAGATTAAAAAGTTATTGCAGATATAGAATTACTACCTGCTGAACTGTAGCTCTCCGGGGAAAAAAGCAAACCTTTTTTTTCATACAGATTTATAGCTCAGGGATCATGTCTGTAAATACAAAATTCGTGTTACCACTCTTATATGAGATTATGAGAAGGAACAATTATTGAAGTTTCAAACCTATAATTTATGATAATGCATTCCCAATTTTCCGATCCAGAGTTGTTTTCCACTACGCTTCCAAACACCACTCGGAACATCACTCGGCCTTTTCCGTCTAGTCGAGAGAAAAAAGCTCGACTTGACGGAAAAGGCCGAGCTATGTTCTAATTGTTCCAAAACTTGTCAAGAATTTCTTTTCATTTCTTCCAAGAACCTCGAATACCAAACTTCGACAAAGGCTTGTATTAGCGTAGCGGGAACGACAACTCTTGCTAGAAAATTAATAATAGTAAATAATGAAAATTATTTAACACTACGGTCTTGAATATCCTATTCCCAATGTTTTCATGAATGACTGTGTATACATATGATATTTCCAGTACTGAATTTTACCGGTATTTTAAATACGGAAACGCAAAATAAAAACATTATTTACCCGTATTACCATGAGTCGAATTTTATACTTCGTCAGTCATGGATGTAATGTCATTTTGTATCTGAATTCGGATGGCTGGTTTATAGATGCCGGTGCTATCTTAATTCGATCATCAAGGAATTATATAAAGTACTTTGTAATTTGGTTTCATAAGGGGTTCATTTAAAATTTGGATATTAATAACATTTATTTAGTAAAAGTTTACTTTGATGGTTATTAATTAAAACAGGGTAAATTCTTATGAAAATGTTAACACTTATGAAATAAAACATTTTTAGTAAATATAGAGTTAAAATGAGAATTAATTTGCCGTTTCTCTACATTAGTCCTTGCAAAGCTGCAATATTGAAATCAATTTAAATCCTTATATTAACAACATCCACACTTTTAAAGCCAAAATATACAACAAATACACAGCATTTAGAATGTTGCGATATATGTCCTAGATATATGTACATTTAATGAATCTTTTTGTTATGTTATACTAGTAATTGTACGGTGGTCATGAAGTACGGGAGGTGCATAGGGAATAAGACAGTGCATGGAGCTACCGATACAAGTTTCGGAAGTTTTGTTTTATACGTTGCCCAAGGCCCTACTCCAATGCATTTCCCTTTCAAGAAGATCGCCAACAGAACCAATTATACATGCTTTTAATCATTCATTGAAATATATGTAGTTATGTATAGCAATATTTTTTTCTAGATTCCAGCCACAGAGTGGAGAACAGTTACCTTGGTAATAGATAACGGAAGTATTAAAGTGACGTCAGATTCACAGACGTCAGAAAAGAATGCAGTCGGTAAGTCATGAATAAGCTTTTAAACTCTGAGTCTTGATTCATTCTCTATAATTGCAGGCACTGTATATGCAGTAACAGTAAGACATGTTTATATTAAAATGTTTATTGCAGGTGTGGTGGAGCGTGCTCAGTGCGGTATGAAAATCGGATGGGGAGAGGGATACGAACATTTTAATGGCTGCATTGATGACGTAAGCTGACCGATTTATGAAAAAATCACGTACACTGGTACTGTAACGTGCCCTTGAGGGAAGAAAAAGATAACCATTTATGTTCCTTAGTTCTCCGGCCTTACCACTTTTATTATAATATTGATGCTAGTAAATTGAAATGTCACTTAAATTGCTCTTAAATCAAATGGTAGTTTATCTCTGATTATAAATATATCTAGGTCATGACAACCTAAATTTAACATCACATCATACTATATTATCTACAGGTATACAGATCTGTAGGTATCTGGGATATGAAATATACTGTAGTTTTATTTAATCAATTTTCAATCTTAAGAACCCTCTCTACACTGCACACTAAAGAGTTCTGATTCTAAGGTATTTTTCTGCAGTTAGAGTGATCTCCTCTTAGATCTAAATTCTAAAAAATATAAATTTACAACGTATTACTCAATTTATAATTAATTTTAGTAATATTCTGAACATTTTAAAATTCCGAGATAAATTAAATAAACATGTTATTTACGTGTATTTTCTCTATTGAAGTAATTAACAGTGATTTCTATTCAGTGATACTGTGTTGTCTTTGAACATTTTTCCCGGGGGTAAATGCCACGCATCATACTGTGAAAATTAAATAAGCTCAATATTAACTCCTTTATACAATATATTTTTCTTAATGTCCCAATTATATATTTAATATTTGTGAATTAAATCATTTAATTATTTTCAACGATGAAACAATTGATAAACGACAAAATTATCGGTAAGGCCAAACACTCTAGCCGATTTATATCTTCTTTTGTTATATATTATGTTGATATTGCCTTGAGATACATTTTATTCTTTTGTTTACAGTTTACTCTGTACAGATGTAACCCAGACAGACCAATCGGCAGCTAGGACCGCACAGCGTTATTGCCTCAAAGAAATCCATCCCCATCTTTAGTGATACCAAGTGAAATTAAATTTTCAAACATTATTTCATTTTATTGAAATATTATTTATTATATATTGTCAGTATTTTTGTAATGCCTAGCAAATGGTTGGTGGGCTTTTGTGACATAATTATCATGTAACTGCTGTAATATACATGGCGAATTAGAAATACATGAAATGCATCGATTCCATGAAACATCATGAAATTTTATGTTAATATAAAGACAGGAGCCTGAGGAGGTGTGTCATTGAAAAGTGACTTCAGTTTTCACGTGTTTTTTTTTTTAAATAAATAAATAAATGTTTAAATTCATGATTACATCCATTAGTTTTACTCAACAGATGTCTATGCACTTTAAAAATGTATATTATTTACGAGGAAAATAAAAAAAACATGATTTTTAAACACGTTTATTTTGATATTGTCGGTGTTTGGTCATGTTTAACAGCAGTACGGAGTTGCCAAGCGTAAAATGCAACCCTAAACAACAAGCAACAGCAGGAAACAACATGAAAGCATAATATTACATCATATACTCATATAATGGCCGTTCCAGGTATTAAAAGCACATTTGAGGTTGGCTTTGTCCTGTTGTTTAATATGGAGGGCAAAATTTCAGCCAAGTCTGGACCTAAGCCCCAAATGCCTGATAATACTAGTAACATATAGCCTGAATCTAATAAACATTACCCTCACAATATTGAATTCTCCAAGTTAAATTAAATCATCAAAGCTGGATCTGTTATTATAACTTTACTTCCAAGCCCCCCCCCCTTTTTAAACATCAACATGCCCTCTAAAAATGACTTAAATTTAGAAATTAAGGATGGTCGATTGGATAAATGTGAAAAATGATAGACACCTATTATAAATGTTTTGAGATCAATTTTATTGCCACCCCACCCCACCCTTTCTCTTCTTTTGATTTAGGATTTTATTTGTAAAACTAAAGCACGATTACACAAGTGCATAAATAAACCTGACATATGTTGCTTGTAAAACATAAACAAAGCTTCAATACAAATTACGCAACATGTATGCTGACATGGCAAATTTTCAATCCGAGCCAATCGTTTATTTCCACGAAAAGGAATAATTCATCCATGCGCCTAATCATCAAATCAGATATTCGTCGATAATATTTCATGAAACTATTTTAGAAACAAATGTGTTTGAAAGTATAACGTTATTGTTTTAAATTCTGTCAGAGTGCTACAAAATTCGTGTACCTTTCTTTTTAAGATCCTTGGCAAAAAGGGAGAATTTGAGATATTCCTAATTTATATTCTAGCCAACCCAACCCAAATAGCAGCAACAACGTTTTGAATTTCCTCATAAAATAAGCGCATCTACATGCATTCTTTAAATTGATAAATGCCATTATTCGATATACATGCATGTGCTTATAATGTGCTTTAGTGAAACGTATGGGGATAACGAACGAAGATCAAAAGTCCATAAAACAATACGAAATAGGAGCAGAACAAACACGGACCTCCAAAACATCAGAGATGGGATCAGGTGCCATGGAGGATTGGGCATGTCCTGCCGACCGGTCACACTGGTCGTGTGCACCTTCGCTTCCATTATCATGGTATATGCATGTTCACTGATCGGGAAATAACGGGAAAATCCGTCGTCAATTCAGTGACCACGTATAAATAATGGACTAACAGTTAATTAGTATGGAAAACATCAGTCAGCATTTGACTCAATGAAAGGAATCTTTCCACGGTCCAAAACACATGAAACTTACACTGTGTAACATGAACAGCACAGATAATTAACTATTCATTGCTTTTAAAGTGCTCTATTTTACCTTACTTCCGTATTCAGTGAATTTGAAAGATTGATTGAACCACAGTAAAGCATTGCATACATTTTTTATAATGTATACATAAAAAAGTATCAACTTTATTGGTGGCACTTTTATCCTTCACCGACATGTGCACCAGGAATTGGTGTTTATGTAAAAATATGCGTGAGTTACATAAGAAAATATTTTTTTTTTTTACATTTCTATCTGAAGGATGATCGAGAAGGAGAGTAGTTTATATGCTGTGTAATATCCATGTAATTGTGGATAATGAGATAATGTACAGATATACCTGTACTTGTATAAACATTTCTAGATCTAGGATTATAATTCTTAATATTATTAAAAATTATAATCTTAAAAAATGTATTATTTTACGAATGCAAATAACGTGTTTTCCCATATAAGACTCCTGTAATTCGTAGTCATAACATTCAAGGTGAATAGATGCAAGAGTTGATGCATAATTTCAGCATTCCATTCAGTAACTATATAATTTATGAATATAGTTTACTTACATGTATACATAAATATCAAATACATGTACATTTTTTCTTACTATTCTTCATGGATTGCGTGGATTTACGGGTTATAAGAGTATGGGGTTTTTCAATTGATTGAGAAAAACATTAATGAATAGTATTAAGGTTTTTATACTATTTGTTAGACATATAGGTAAAGTGCAGTGCATAAATATGATAAAAGTTAAACTTCAGAACTTCAGAAAGTTTATACTCCTTTGGTTGCCTATGTCTAGACAATTCTTTGGCAATTTATTTGTGTAATTTTGTAAACATGCACTTCATGATAGAAGATACATCGATGATGTTTTAGGAATTCTTATTGGATTTTACTACTAGGTAGTTGGTAAATGTAGCTATTTTTTTCAAATTGTGGTTGGTATGATTAGTTTAAATTTTATAATTTTTACATGAATATTCAAGTCTGATCGCCCGTTCTCTGGTCATATGCAAGATCAGACATACAGGTACACGTTGACTTTAGTTTAAAAAAAAACAAAGGTATCTATATAGGATTGCACATCTAATTATTATTCGCCCGGATCGATGCGTATATTGTTTTTGTCCTGTCTGTTTGTCTGTTTATCTGTTTGTCTGTTGTCAACTTTAACCTTCGCCATAACTTTTGAACCATGAGAGATAGATACTTCATATTTGGTATGCATACTCGAATAATGAAGCTCTTTCAAATGGCACCAAGGTCAACGATCTTGTGACCTTGACTGTGGCCTATATGCTAAAAATAGCTTTTTCGAACTTTCGCCATAACTTTTGAACCATGAGAGGCAGAGATTTCATAATTGATATGCGTACTCCACTAATAAAGCTCTTTCAAATGACATTAAGGTCATGACCATGTGACCTTGACTGTGACCTATATGCTAAAAATAACTTTTTAGACTTTTTGCCATAACTTTTGAACCATGAGAGATAGGTACTTCATATTTGGTATGCATACTTCACTAATAAATTTCTTTCAAATGACACCAAGGTCGATGACCTTGTGGCCTTGACTGTGACTTATCTGCAAAAAATAGTTTTTTTAACTTTGTTACCGCCGGGCGCATAGTGTTTCACAAACACATCTTGTTTTTTGAATAAATTTTTCCAACGTTTTCATTCATTTTGAACAGTTTTCTCAACCAATTGCGAAACCCAATACCCTCATACTCCGTAAATCCACGCAAAGCACACACATCTTTAAATATGAGTAACACAATGATTTCTTGCATTTAAAGTAATCTTGTTGCTATAGTGCTCACATGTCTATACCAGTAGCACTTTCTTAGTATCATGACACTTTTTTTTACCTGAATAAGTAATTGTAATCTACTAGTATCAACCTTTAAATGTATTTACACGTACACGAAAGATCATTTCCAAACCGGCCAGACAAAAATAGCTGAAGACAATAAAAAAAAACCTCTATTAAAAATAGTTATAAAAAAAATAGACGTAAATTTGGTCAGAATTCATTCAAAGATCTTATTAAGTGTTGGATGGGAGTTGGTGGAGTGGGACACATTCCTATTCTCGACACAATAAAGTGAGACGGCACGACCTTACTCGAACAAAAAGGGGGGAGGGGGAGGGGGCAGACCTCTCAATGAAAATGTCAATCCTAAATCACATGTTACAGCATGACTATATTGTCGGGAAAAAATTGAAACACCCCACCCTCTCACTCATCCCGGCCAATACTGAGTCTCAACATTCATTATAACTAAGTGAAAAATGACAAACACATATAACGCTACAAGACCTCTATGTACATTAAATTTGTGTATAGTACGCCCCGTTAATGAATGGGAAATGACACATTGTATCAATAATATTTCGGTTTCTTGGTGACATTTACATAAAATTATCAGTTACATAAACATTATTAACATAAATATTTATATTTTCATTTCTTTTTGAATCGCAGTTGTACACTTTATAAAGAATGTTAGGTGTGATAATATTCTTCATTTAAGATGTAATGCTTTGTGGACACATACTATAATTTTAATTCGATTTTAGAGTTATGAATTACTATTGATACATTTTTAAGAGGTCATTCAACCTTTCAGCTAAGTGTACTTTATAACACAACTCGAATCTCTGTCAAATTATAGTCAATTCACAATTGAATCGTGTCACATTTATTCAGACTTAAAGTATTTTTATCATGAATCCCGGAACCCTAATACAATTATTATAACTTTTCTAATTTATTTGATGATAAAATAGAATTTTGTGCTCATTTATGTATATTCATTGTAACACAATCAACAAATATATTTTTAAGATGCTCTGGTTCTTCAATCACAAGTCTTTATGATTTGTTAAAAAGTTTTCTTTTTATACCGGTATCTTTGTACATGTAACGTTTTTGCACTTGTGTATGATTTTTTTTCTGGCATCAAAAAGTCAACAATAAATACAAGAAAAGGACAGACCTAAGCATTTTCTGGCTCCAGGACCAGAGTGTAAACTCTAAACAGACTTAATTAAATCAAATTCATTTTGAATTTAAATATCTTTCAATTGAGTTTTATCTATTATATATATATTATGATTATGTCAACAGCTTAAAAACACGAACATAATGAAAATTTTGATAACTTTACTGAATAAATTTAAATATTGCAATATTTTGAATTTTGACGTCTGTTCTAAGTTATATCTAATGGGTTCGGGCCCGATATTTTTTTTAAGAATTCAAAAACTTTCCGGCCCTTATTTGTTTTCCAAGAAAAACATCAAAACGGATGCCACTCACTGACTGATGTTAAGTGACATGGCTCATGTACTGACTCTCTAAAGTAGGTTAATTTTTGGCTATAAGTGGGATGCTTTGGTCCTGGAATTTAAGAAATAGTTTGTTAAGATTAACAAAAAAAATATATTAAGGTCACGGGAGTTGCATTTAATTTTTTCTAAGTATTTGTGAATGAAGTTTTGGTACTTTAACAAGTTTTCCCACCCAAAATGATATATGCTCCAAAATCTGATTGCCCATTGCAGGAGTTTTAATCTGTTTTTTCTCTTAAATTATTCTTTTCACACACATAAATACACTATGCAATATAAACTCAAAAAAATAATAACGGTATTGTCGTCCCAATTTTTTTTAAAATTAATTTTGCTATAAATTTGCGTTATATAACTTTTTATCTAGTCATAACCCCAACTAAAAAAAAGGGGGGGTTATAAGAACTCGTGGTCCTAATACGTGGTAATTTGTAATGGCAGGGATAAGAATGACCAGTGATTCGAACTTCGAACTCTGGATTTCAGAAAGGTGCGCTGTCCGAGAATCCGTTTACCTGTATCTGATCACCGGTGAATAAATTCGGCTGGTCGTCGTATTAAAAACAAAACATTGTTTCTGAATGCTGATTGCTAACCAAGTCACGTGCTGTACATTCTTAATAGCTGTAAACTGAACACAGCTCACCCGTAATGCAGGACAGCAGGTTCTCGAACACATTTTCTTGAATGAGTAAAACATGGCAGCCCCACTAGATTTGAGGAACATCACTGATGAGGTTTTCGAATTTTCCCAGGGTTTCGTGAATCTGAAAGAGAATGTGGACAATTTCTTTTTGTTTGTTATGGGAATGATTGTGTTCTGTAAGTATAATTACTTTAAAATGATGATTGTGTATTTTATTATTTATGATCAAACTGACTGGTTATATAAGTATTATTGTATACAGTAAGGTTCACACTGTGTATAGTTATAGTTCATGAGCGGATTTAGAGGGGGTTTGGGGGATGTCCTGGTCCACTCTTGAATTTGCAGAATTGTTAAAATATATACACTAAACCAAGCAAAAGTGACTTTGAACCCCCTAGAAAACTCGGACCCCTCCTTGAAAACGCGAATCTATATGAAAAGACATAGGTATGAAGCTTTACAATTAGAAGTCAACGATTACTACCCCCCCCCCCCCCCCCCTGAGTGAAATAAGGATTTCATTGTTTTTTTTTTTAATATTTTTTTACTGGGGTGGATTCCTGACCCCCTCTTGAATTTGCAGAATTATCAAATGTATACACTAAACAAAGCAAAAATGACCTTGGACCCCCCTGGAAAATTCTGACCTCTCCTCGAAAACGCGAATCTATGTGAAAATGGTATGAAAAGTCATAGGTATGAAGCTTTACAATTAGAAGTCAACGATTAAACACCACCACCCCACGCCCCGAAATAGGTTTTTCACGTTTGGAAATGACTTAACGTTTTTTTATTTATTTATTTCTTTTTACTGGGGTGGACCCCCCTCCCCGGGAAAAAAAACCCTAGGCCCCCGCCTATAGGTACATGTATATACATGTATACTATGTGTCTATTTTGTTATAGAATTATCAAAGCAGGATTTACGCACAAAGACAAAATTATAATAATTCTTGTCAAATTGTTTTAAAAGTTTCATTGATTAAGATATGATACTCATAGTAAAATTATAATTCAGGTAGTATTATCAGTTGGTGATATATTTCAGACCTGGTAAGAACTTAAAAAAAACGTCTATCCAATAAAATATGAGTCGAGAAAAGAGTGTCTTGTTTTCAGAGCATTTCAATACCTCCCCTCCCTTTATTTAAATATTTCATGACACGGGTGAGGATTTTTATTTTTAGATTTCACCCACCAAAATTATAATAACAAATTGTTTTAAAAGTTTCATTGATTAAGCAGCTGTAATTCAGGTAGTATTACAGTTGGTGATATACTGGTAAGAACTGATCACTTGATAGTCTTCGAAAATTAAATGCACACTTATTTAAAGCATGAACATATTAATTTTTTTCTTTATACCTGTAATGCACCTATAATTTCGTAGTTGTACTATAATCCACCAGCCGTACTTTTTCTCTTTGTTCTATCTCCTTAAATATGTAATTAACAAAAATTACAAATATTACTTTTCATAATTTTCAATAGAAAAATGACACTGTATACAAATCACTCAACCATGTCTTGAAATTACATATAACTGATGCTATGACTATGTGTGGAGTATTTCGATTAAACGGGGGAATATTGAACGGCTTTAGTGAGATTCAGGTATAAATTCAAATTGTGAAAAAAATGGAAAGGAATATATCTGAACTCGTTGCAGAGACAATAACTTTTAAAGAGAATGTGGACCACTTATTTCTAATCATCATGGGCATGTGCATCGTTTGTAAGTTGTTCTTTCCATCGTTATTTACATTTATCTCTTCCCTTTTTGCAGTGTTTTCATATACACTATAAATATGGTTGGTTGAAAAAAGAATAAGTAAAGTAATTACAACAGTAATATCTTTTTAAGTAGTATCAGTTTCCTAATAACTATATTTTTGCTGCAGCAGTATATTCTATAATCTTGAATGCTTCACGTATAATTTTACACACGTTCAGTTTCATAAGAGAATTGAAAAATGTCTTCCAACATTATTATTAGGCCAAAGACCTATCCGATGTCAAGAATATGTATACTTAAAAAAAATTGAATGTGGACCTAGTATTATACTAAATGATGTAAAATAAAGTTTATGTACTATTCCACAAAAATAAACACTAAGTATATGGATAAATAATCCATTCTTATTATTTTTTTCTGCAGTTATGCAATGTGGGTTTGCGTTCTTAGAAGCTGGTGCAGTCAGAAGCAAAAATACGACAAACATACTCATCAAGAATGTCATGGACTTATGTAAGTAGCAGGATATGTACAGGGAGTCCAAAAACGTGTTACAATTTTAATTATCTATAAATTTATCAAACTAAAAGTATTCACAAAGATATTTTGTCAACGTCTAGTGTTTTAGCATACGTTTTATCTGACAAACTTTCGAGAAATTCTTTTAAAAAGTCTGGTAATTATGATGTCCTAATGACGTCATGTTATCTTTAATATGGAACCTTTATGTGAACAGCTGGTAGAAATTGTAAAACTTTACTATGGGTCTAAATCTGCTACTTTAGTCTATAGAACCATGAGAAAACACATCCTGTAATAAAAGTTTTCAAAAGAATACTAATTTACAGATTTGTGAGGGAGTTTGAAGTTAAAGGTACCATTAATCACACATGACTTAATTCTGGTATTAGAAGTCCAAGGTATGGCACGCCAAATTCACTAAAATGAGCTAATCATAGTTTCACAGTCGATAAACTACTAGGTTTATCGGTTGTAACTATAGTTTACGGACTGTAAACTATAGTTAACAACGTTAATCTATATTTTACATTTGTAAACCATAGTTAACGCGATAATCTACCATAAACAATCATTTGCTATCGCAAAACATAGATTATCTGAAAAATACAGTTTCAGTTTCACGATTTGTAAACTATGGTTTACAACTCTTAACTATAGTTAACGATCGTAAATTATAGTTTACAGACGTGAATCTATGTTTATCAACAAAATCAATTGTTAACGTTTTATTAGAGACAGATAAACTTAGATTAGCATTCGTAAACTATAGTTAACAACCGTTAAATATAGTTTTACAATTGAAAACTATAGTTAACGAATCGTTAACTATAGTTAAAGGTTTGTAAACTATAGTTTACAGTCGATAAACCTAGTTTATCAATTGTGAAACTAGGTTTAGCTCATTTTTGTGAATTTGGCGTGCCATACCAAGGAGTGGCCGTACCAAAGAGAACATTAATACCATTGATAGAGTTATTACTGACACTTCACAAAAAATCCTTTAGAGGGGTCCTGCATGAACAAGATATATAGCACCTTTGGTAAATCTAGTGTCCATAAAATACTCAAATTTGATTTAAAATTGATTCCTTTCAAGACATTATAGTTTGCAGCTAACTGTAAAGTTTCACGTTAGAATTTGCGCTCAAAAATTGTACACGCCTCCTAACCGCAAGTTTTACGACTGGAACTTTGTTCTTATCCCTGATTGGTTGCTCGTGCAACAGACTATTTCCGTGTCAATGTTGATAATAAGAGTTGACCAATCACGTGAATTGTTTACTCTGGATGCATCTGACGAAAAAGATTGTGACATAACGTGAAACTTTACAGTTAACTGCAAACTGTAATAAGTGTAATGCAGAATTTGAAAGAGACAGAAATTAGAAGTCGTTTAGAGTTTGCCCATTAGATTTAAATTAGTCCCGACTCTGAAAACATAACAGATGCATGTTTTTCTGATGAAGCCAGCTTCAATTTTAACAATGTTGTTAAAGAGAATCTTAAATTCTGTTGTTTGGAAGCCCAATTTTAATGTTGAAAACCCTCTAAACTTAAAAAAAAAATTCAGAAATGATTATCGTGTTCAAATAATGTTAATTAAAAGGGACGCCATTTGGAACATGTTGTAAAATGACACATGTTATTCTAAAAAAAAATATATTGATGATTAATAAGGAAATTGTGATATGCTTGCCAAAAAAATTATAACAATTTTATTATATATTTTAAAATTTTAAATTGCATTAATGTAGCTTGAGGCATAAAAATTTTATAACGGTTTAAAAGTGTAACATGTGTTTTGAAACACCCTGTATGTTCCTTTAATGTTGTCATTATACATGTATATATATGAACAGCTGATCGATGATGGAAGTATTTAACAAACCGTACAATTCCTTGTAAATTCATGAGTAATGATATAATTTACAGACTTTACACCTCATAAAGTTTTTGATTTAAATATATTTTTTGTATTAATTAAAAACATTCTTTTTTTTGGGGGGGGGGGGGAATACATGTGAAGTAAATACCTTGCGAATATTAATGTGTTTTATGGTCTGTATTTTTGATATTTTTGTAATTTTTTGATCTTATTGAAATGCCTTAATTTCATTAACAATTTCTTTCTTAGATATTGCTTCATTACGGAGTTGTACATATATACTTGTATAAACGCCTAATCTTAAGCGTCTAATCTCCAATGTTCCTCATTTATAAATATTTCTAGTGAATTACTGCATCTTTATATGATAAAGTCATGTTTAAATCAATGTATAACTCTGACCGGTTATAGTTTTTCATTTGTCAGTGCATGCACACGTAGAAATCAGTTTACGAATATATTAAATGAATTAATTGTAACAAGTCTTAGTGCATTTTCTTTTTAGACTCAAGGTAAAACAATTGTGGGTTATGAAATCAATTTTTTTTAAATATTATTCAGAAACAGGCAAAATGAAAACAATGAATGATAAAGGTTAAATTATGAATAAAAAGAATGTGGAGGGATTTGGTGCAATATACACGAAACATTGATCACCTAAGAACACACGGACCAGTGAACCTTATCGCGAGTGGGTGTTCCACGTTGTCTTGATACTACATTTCAACTTCGAGAGCATTGATAATATCCTTAGCATGCAGTTAGAATTCATGTTTGATATAAACATATTGGAATATACTATACAGATCTCGTAGATATGCTTTTCTTTCCATTTACCTGTAAAGTTTGTTATTCTTCCTGGATCTTGCACTGAATTATTTTTCAAGTTATTAAAATTATCTTTTTTAATTAAATATCGTTACACGTTTGTACATTTACATGCATTTCTGAGTTAAATTTCCTTTCAAGACAATACAATAAGTATAGCTGTATATTTATTTTAATTTTTGAAACAAAAATCAGTGAAACTTATAGCCATGCAAGACTTGTGTCTAATCAATCAAGTTTGAACACTCACGTATATTTATAGCTGCAGTTCTGTAGCTCTCCGAAAAAAAACTGATTCATTTGATAGACCGGAGAGCTACAGTGCCACCCATTGAAAAAACTGTATATTTATTGCGCACAAAAAAGTGCGCTCGATTCTTGATTAATTCTTCCAAATTCCTACCTCAATTGCAAAAAATGGAAGATTTCAAAAAATTCCTCTCTCCTCTATCAAATTCTCTCGTAGTTGACATCTGAACGAAGCATATTGGACCGAATTATCTTTGAAACCAAAATGGCAGTATAAATAAGCGAAATGTCCGATGATTGCAATATCAGGGCCAGGAGGAGTATTAACAACAATTATGAGGAATGTTTTGTTGTGGAAAGAGTCAAAGAATATGTTAGGAACACACGGTTAGTAATATTTTGAGACTACAGCTTTAAAAACATGGAGAAATAAATCGAGAACCGAGCGCATTTTTTTGTGCACAATAAATATACAGTTTTTTCAATGGGTGGCTCTGTAGCTCTCCGGTCTATCAATAATTTTTTCGGAGAGCTACAGAACTGCAGCTAGTATATTTAATGAAATCAATGCGTAACAACAAGTGCTCTCTTCTTTTACAGTCATCTCTGGGGTATCCTATTGGTTGTTCGGATTTGCCTTCGCTTTTGGTGATGGTGTCGCCGACAGGTTTATTGGACTGAACTATTTTGCCTCATCTGGCGTTCCGCACAGCAAATACGCCCTGTTTTTCTTCCAGTTTACGTTTGCCGCCACAGCTTCTACCATTGTTTCTGGCGCAGTAGCGGAGAGATGCGAATTTGTGGCATACTTCGTATATAGTGTATTTATAACAGGTATTTTCAAGGATTCGTATATAGTGTATTTATAACAGGTATTTTCAAGGATTCTCACTTAAAGGAGGCTAGGGGGTCAACAAATTATTTTTTTTATTAACCACCAGATATAACTTAAATTTTGGGATATGCTATCTTAAGCTGTCAACTATCATTTGGCAAAGAAAAATTTCATAAATTTTAGTTTTAAAATTTGATCATTTTATTATACTGGTATCTTATATGGAGCTCTTCTTCTAAAGGAGATCAAAATACATGTAGTCTAAAAATGGCCACGACCACCCAGCCTCTTTTTTTTTTTTAACCAAAATGAATTATTGCACGAAGAAAGATAACTCGTCTAGAGTATCAAGAATTTTTATACATTCTAAAAACTGGGCCTCAGTTCCCCTAAAAAAGACAAGAATTGGATTAATTATTCATTCTTTTCATCATGAACTTTTCTAGTCAAAAAAAAATCGTAACAACCCACATCAGAGAATGAGATTACTTTTTAGGTACAAGCGGGAGAGGAGGGGATATAACCTACATGTAATTATCCTTCTCACAAGCAGAATTCCTGAATACGCCTCTTACCCTGCATACTCCACCTGCCTCAGATCACAGGAGTCTGAACTGAGGGTGGGAATTTTTTTTTACGATAAAAACTTCAGACTCCTGTGGTCAGATACATGTATTTATTATAATTTCAGGCTTTATCTACCCCGTCGTGACACACTGGGCGTGGTCCTCAGGGGGATGGCTGACTATTGGGGATACTTACTCAAGTCTTGACAACGAAAGTGTCGGTTATCAGGTAAATCTCTATTGCTCCAGTAAAATGGGTAGGAAGCTAGACTACTAAACCCAAAAAATTTTAATTATTCAGCCAGTGCGAACAAGAATATTTTTTTTTTCATTTACAAAAATTAAAATTTTAAAAATGCATTCATGTACAATGAATCAATGCTGTATCAGTTCATATAATATGTTTGTAAAACTTTATTTTTTTTCTATATAAATCATGATATTTTTTCAACAATTTTAGAACTTTTTATTTATTAAGTGATGTCTAGTCTTAATTTCTATAAATTAATCTCAGTTCATATATTGAAAGCTTATAAAATTTTATTAGTTTTAGTATATTTTCTTTTCTACAGGACTTTGCCGGTAGCGGAGTTGTACACGTGCTAGGTGGAATCGCTGCTTTTATGGGTGCTGTAATGCTAGGTCCCAGAATCGGCCGATTTCACCGCAGCTCTAAAACTGTAGCTCCGATCAGAGGCCACTCCGTACCGGTGGGTAAAAAAATATATGACTGAATACGTAAGTCCCCCCCCCCCGTTTTTATTCGACAAAAATGCTGTGTTAAGTTTAATTACTTTAAAAGGACACTCCTCAGTTAGATTAGTCAGATTTCCAAAATTATCAATTATTGCAATTTCACTTTTTTACAAAATTGAATTCAACAATGAACATTGCATAAAAAATGAAAAAGAAATATTTGGAGAACTATTTTTTGTGCAGGAGGGATATTTAAAAAAAAATACACAGTCATGTGATGTATTCAGTATCTATGGTGCCAAGCATATAGGAGATTTCAGAGCTTTTTTGTTCGTAACATATTGTTATGCTTTGGCCGAGGAAAAGATAATAAAAGCATCTACATGTAGCATTGCGCGTAAAGTCGTCTTGGAGAAATATTGGACAATGTCAAACTAATAGCTGGGATGCCACCAATTCCTGGTGGAAGGTTACGTATTTGATCCTCATTTCCTGGTTAACTCAGTCGGCACTTATGGCCTCTGAATTTATTCCAGCGCATAGTATGACTCGGCACCTCGAGTTATACGGTCTCATTCCATGGACTAGTGTCCATTTCCTGCAGTGGGATTCGAACCCCCTGAATCAACTCATCAACAGAAGATCTGCATGCTGTGAAACTCAATATTTAACGTATTAAAATTTTTGCCTAAACTTGATGCATTTTTCTTAAACAGATTGCTGCGTTAGGTGGATTCATTCTTTTCTTTGGCTTTTTGGCTTTCAATGGCGGATCCCAACTGTCAATCAGTAACCCTGGTGACGGAAACGCTGTCTCCATAGCAGTAGTAAATACGGTCATTTCGGGATCCTGTGCGGCTTTTATGTCACTTATACTCAACCGGCTGCATATTTTTGGAAATACATGGAGTTTATTAGTAACCATAAACGGTGCTTTGACTGGAATGGTACGTATATTTATGATACGGTAGCAATAATATGTAAATTACATAAGAAATAGAAACCAAAATCATCCAAAGGGCATATTTATATAGTCTTACATTAACATTCCTATTCAAGCGCCAAGTTTCATTCACCAACCACACTATTGTCAAAAGAACGAAGAATTAACCGATTTTTACAGAAACCCATATTTTGACCTAAAGAGTGGACACTTCTTTCGGAAATAATTTTTTAACTGGCAGTATTATACTATGAGTTAAAAATTCATTACCGAAACAAGTGCCTGTAAGTTTTGGCTGTTAAGAGGTACTTCCACTCTCTGGTTTAAATGTGCCCTACCCCATAATGAAGCTCTGCCAATCAGTAATGTTTCCAGGCCTTTCAAATTCATTATGGATACCTGGCCAACCTTGCAAGATTTACACTGCCATGCTTCTGAGAGAGTAACAAAATGCTCATTTTTAAACATTAGAATTGATTTCTTTGCTTTTAACATTATATGCAATTTGTTTAGGTTGCCATATGTGCTGGTTGTAACGTATATGAACCTTATGCCGCATGCGTGATCGGGCTCCTCTCAGCGATTGTATACCGGACCTACTCTGTTCTCATGGTCAAGATCGGCGTGGATGATCCGCTGGATGCCGTTGCAGGTACATGTACTTCTAAAATCTTGTAACGTTTTCAAGATGAGTAAATAAAAAAAAAAATGATTGTACCACGCATTTTAATTATTACTGACCTCTCTTTATTTCCATTTTAATAATCATTATGTTTTAGTGCATTTTGGTGGAGGAAGCTGGGGAGTTATAGCCGTGGCGTTCTTTGACAATACCAACGGAATTTTTTATGCACGGGATCTCAAATCTGCCTATGTAAGTTCATTCTTAACGTAAAGAAATTTGATAAAATTTTGAAACATGTTATAACAATCGTAAATGTAAATATTTATATATTAAAAGAAGGATGCAGCAGGGGACATTTGAACCATAGGCGCTTGATTTCAGGATGGTGTATTTTGTGTATTTAGTTGTTTTTCTAGGGGTGTCTGAATACCCTCATCAAAATTAAAATTAAAAAATTACTGAAATGAGGACGTTTTAAAAATGTCATATCGGGTATTACTGTATATAAAAAGATTGAAAGTATGACACTTGCCATCTTGAATTTCCGCGGGTGTCTCGGTTCAGACTTGATTTTAATCAATATTTTCGCTTTTCCTACCGGTGTCGGGTAAGATCTAGCTTCAAAAATGTTTGAATAACGCCTTTCAAACGTCTGTTGATTTGAACTTGTCGTATAAAACATGCGATAAACCAAAAACGTCTTGGATACCAAGCACAGAAATTGAAAACAACGGAAATGCCGATTTCTGACGATGAAAAATGTAGAGGCGTCCCGGTGTTGTAGCATAGACTTTCCCCCCGCATAGACTTTCCCCTCGGAAAAACGGGCCCGGGTTAGACTTTCCCCCCTGGGTGGAAAAAGCGCCCCAGTATAGAATTTCCCCCTTTGAACAAAATCAGTATAGACTTTCCCCCTTGGGGGGAAAAACCGCCCCAGTATAGACTTTCCCCCCTTATAATTCCGGATTGCGTTTTTCCGGAATTCGTTTTGTTATGCATTTTGGTTTTGGTTTTCTTTTTAAACGAAAACTTCCAGTTCTGATAAAACCATGCTTTTCAACATAATTCAAAAGCGAGAAATTACAGGTTTGCTCCCAAAAAGTAACGCCTTGATACAAGTACTGAATAATATTTTGCGCATTACGGGAACTGATCAGTATAAGTTACAGATAAAGGAGTGTGTGTATGAAATTGAAGATATTCTGAAAACTAAAATTCATTTTAGTGTTATACTCCACGATGTTGTACAGACGTTATTGGTAGGGTCAGTAGAATGTGTTGATGCCCCAGATTTTTTGCTTGACTTGTTCAGTGAGGTAGAAGAAAAACTTTTAGACTACACAATTGATCAAATATATATTCCAACTGAATATTTTATCTGTGTGTCAAAGTTTCGACTCCTACATGGTTTATATGGACTAGGAAACCTCGGATGTTTTTCGGATGCCCCCTCAACGGAGTAGAAATGGACGAAGACATGACAAATGTCTTCAATTACCTAAAATGTAAAGTATACCCTCCAAATGTATGTAAGGACACAAAACGAAAAATCAGATCGAGGAGTAAAGCATACGAAATAAAAAATGAAATATTGTACTGGAAAAACCAGAAGGGGGAGTTAAGACAAGTGGTCATTAATTTGTCAGAGAGAAAAAGGATCTTGGAAGACAAGCATGACAAAAACGGCCATTTTGGCCGGGAAAAAACACTGTGGGCCATATCAGAGATGTACTTTTGGAAAAATTTGTCAGGAGACGTTGAAGAATATGTCAATTCATGCTTGAAATGTCAAGAGGGAGGAGCTTTTAAAAAGTCGGATGCAGAACTTTTCCCCATTTCGATTGTTAAACCTTAGTATCACGTAGGAATGGACCTCATAACCATGCCAAAGTCGTCATCCGGAAATTGTTACATCCTAACATTAATGGACTATTTTACAAAATGGCCCGAAGCAGCCGCAATTTCAAATAAGCGAGCAGAAACTATAGCATTTGAACTCTTAAAGATTTGCAAAAGAATGGGGTTTCCCACAGTCTACTCTAGTGACCAGGGGAGAGAATTTGTAAATCTAACATTACAAAAACTAATCAACCAGTACTCTGGATCACAAAGATTGTCGTCGGCTTACCATCCCCAGACTAATGATTTAGTTGAGAAATTCAACAGGACTCTGCAGGAGTCGCTAGTTAAAATAAGCAGCGCAGATCTGTGTGATTGGGACGAACATATTGATGATGTTTTGTTTGCCTACAGATCAACCAAGGTATCATTTTAAATTTACATTTAAATTTTGTTTATAATTTTACTAGACTAGTGATATAACTCATTCGAATAGATGAAGATCAAAGAATACATGGAACAAAATGGTTTCCTATAATTTGTTCGGCTGCACTTATAAGCACTCCAAAGTCAAATATGCTTTTAATGTAATTTCGGCTTAAACCTAGGGGGCGACAAATTTTAGAAGACTGTTTACTTTCAGAATGTTTAAATAATTTTACCAACTGTCAGTACTTTAAGTACTTTGATTTAAGCTTTGGAACTGTGCTTTTTAACAATATTAAAGCAAATTAATCTACATATTTTATTTTATTGTTTATAGCACAAAACGACAAAATATTCGCCATTTGAGGCAATATTTGGACGGAATGCGTTTCCACAAAGAGAACAACAATCTGAAAGCGAGTATACTACGGATAATACAGAACCAGCTTTTGAAGAGGTGATCGAAAAGCTCCAAAACACAAGAGACAGCATTAACGAACAGATAAAAGAAAATGTTGAACTATCCCAAGCAAAGCAAAAAAAGTACTACAAAGACAAACGAGTACCGCTCAGACAATTCCATGAAGGAACAAAGGTATTTGTATTTAACACCCACAAATCAACAAGAAAGGGTGGTAAAAAGGAAAAAAAATGGTTAGGACCGTACATTGTTACCAGTGTTCTAAGCAAAGGGTGCGTTAAATTGAGAAATCTTAAAGGTTCTCTCATTAAGCGTTCTTACAATGTGAAACTTCTGAAGAAGTGTGTTGACAGAAAAGAAAAGCTTCGTCTTAATGCTAACAACCATGCAGACATTGATCAGAAGATATCAAACAGTATCGGAGGGATAGAACGTGACGCTAATGACAAAGTCACAAATGATGTTGAAGAAATCGTTGATGTTGATGAAAAGAAAACAGATGATGGTGACAAAGAGGCTTCTGGGGATGACGACAGTGTCATGGAAGCAGATGCTGATGCTGCTGATGATGAGGTTCCTAGGGATGACCAAAGAGTTGATGACTATGAGGAGGAGGAAGAGGAGGAGAAAACAGATGATGATGACGAAGAGGTTTCTAAGGATGACGAAAGTGTCAAGGAAGCAGATGCTGATGTTGCTGCTGATGATGTTTCTGGGAATGGCAAAAGGGTTGAGGAGGAGGTACTTGTATCTGGAAGCTTTGAATTAAAAAATACGTTTTTTCCAGTTGATGCTACTTGGCAAGAAAACCAAATTTCAAAGCATAACGTTAATGTGTCTTTGAGAAAAAGACACCGTGGAAAAATAAAAAAACCTTTAGCAAATCATTGTCCATTAAAAGTTATGGAAGTCAGAGGAGACGGCAACTGTTTTTTCAGATGTATTAGTTATGCTCTTACAGGATGCCAGGCCCAGCATAAAGCCATACGAAACTCTGTCGTGAAATGGATGAAAACCAATTCGGAGAAAGTGGAACGGCACTTTGGTACCCGCTATATTGACTGCTCTAACATGATTATAAACGGAACATGGGCAACAGAAGCCGAAATTCTAGCGACAGCAGCTTTGTTGAATACTGACATTCAAATCTATTGTCAGTACGGCAAATCTATGCGATGGGTAAAATATTCAAGCGAAACCCTTGGAAACTTCAAATTCACAAATATGTGTATATACTTAACCAACGAAAGTGGAGTTCATTTCAACTATGTAGAAGATATTTAAATAACAATTAAAATTCCCGACAAAGACATAGAATTTAGTTGAGAACACAGACACACATAAAAGTGGCTGAATTATTTTCAGAATTGAAGAACTATGAATATCAATTTATGTTTCTTTTAAGGTAAAGATCCATACCACATGAAATAACGCTATATGACGTTATTCTCGTCAGTAACGTTATTACGTCAAACACGCCCGACGCTTATTCCATCAAAAATGCCTGACATCGATTTCACTTACTGTGAAAAGAAAGGTACATTAATTTCCAAATAAAAGGCATAAAAAATACGATATTCAGTTATTTCCGGGATACATAATCGAAGGAGAGTTTAAATTTTAGATGATTCGTCAAACCGAAAGTACAACAAATTTTAGATGGCATGGAATGATGGATGGGAGATTGTCTCGAGTACAAGATAACTAAAAGACTTCGACAATCGGGTCGTTTTTTGTCTCTGTAAGTTGAAGAAATACAGAGTAACAAATAAATGGTTCTCTTGTCGAAAGTCATTATCGTTTGCTTATATGTTTGTACATAGACCTATACATAACCAAATTTGCGAACCACGGCTCAAGTATTCAGGTACCTAACTACTTCGCTTCAATGTTACGAAATGTCCTTTGTTTGAAATATCGTCCTCGAAAATCGTCCTATGGGGAATGACTCAGAATTTGCAAAAAAATTATGGAAAACTTTTTACAGTGTATTTATAGGCATATCATAGATATTTACAGTTAATTCACAAATATAAATGTTCTGTTATTTGGTATATCCATGCACTGAAACATTAAATAATTCTTGATAAAAAAAACAGAATATTTCATTTAGGTAGGAAAGGACATTGATGCATTTAAAAAAAATTCCTTATTACACACATCTGCTGAAAATTTTAAAAATTCTGTTTTAAAGCAAGTGCACAATAACCTCTAGTTACCATTTGTAGTGCTGTGGGTAGTGTATTGGTGCACCTGGGTTTGATTCTCTGTAAGTTGAAAAAATACAGAGTAACAAATAAATGGTTCTCTTGTCGAAAGTCATTATCATTTGCTTATATGTTTGTACATGTACATAGTACGTACATAACCATTTTCGAACCCTTTGGGCCTCTTGTTACAGTAATTTTGCTAAAGCCAATTTCCAAATTGATGACAAAATTACAAATGTGTCATCTACGGTATGCACAATATGTATAAGATAATAAATGAGAAAAACATACGCTGAACAGACCCAGAGGTCTATATCAGATGGGGAGCTGGGAAGGGGGTATTTCTGTCTTCA